TAAAGACGTCGACCGATAATGAGATTTTGAACTTTCACTTTTACCGACCATGACTGTTATCTTTCGGTGACGATGGGAGCAGCAAACGTCTTATTTCGCTTGTTGTATCGACCTTTTCATGGTAGTATTGTTTTCGTTTAATGTTTCTTTGGCCCCTTCTATCCATTTATTCCTGGGTCTGCCTATTCCTTTGTATCAAATCTAATCTCGGGTTATAGTTTTTTGCTGGTCTGGTGGTAGATCTAGTCTTGGCAGATGTCCAAACCATTAATTTTATTCGTTGTTTATTCATTTTTACTATAAGCAGGGGGTCGAGCCAACTTTTTCTTTGACAACCTCGTTTTTCATCCGGACTCTTCTTTAGATATAAAAGAACATGTTTTTTCAGCATCTCATTTTAAAGGCGTAGATACACATATATTTTACTTTGGTCCCTGTTGTCTATTGTCCGTGTTTGGAAATGATAGCACAATATTGGTTTGAGGATGCTATTTTGAGCTCACGCTTTGTTTTCATTGTGATGTCGGGATGTGAAAGTGAAAGTAATGGTGTCAGTTGGTAAGTCACAACATTGGCCTGTTTATTCTGATTTCTATTTCTCTGTCCACCTTTCCGTCCTGGGTGAATACACTTCCCAGGTATCTGAACTCTTCTTGTTCGTTTGATTTTTGCTCATATCGACTGTGATGCTTAGAGGGCCCGGATTTTACTGAAATTTCATCGCCTCGGTTTTGCTTGCGCCGATCTTCATATTGCGATTTTTGCAGCTTCGTTAAGTGTGTATATATTATTGTTTGTTTGTTTTATTAGAGGGTTTTACGGCGTTCGCAACTGCATAAGGTCATATGAGCGCCAGAAGATTAGAGGTGTTACAAGAGAGTAACAAACATAAAAAAGAAGAAGGGGAGATAAGGACGATAGATGTTTGATAGGAAAGAAGAAGTAAACCACACCAGAGCACCCGCCAACCATCCACGTATATATTATGTGTTCTTTGGGGGTTATATCGTTGTCGCTTAGTATGAGCTGATCGTCAGCAAAAAGAAGGTCGTTGATTGTGTTGCTTTCTGTCTTAGCTTCTGCTGTTAATTTTTCCATGTATGTTATAAATAGTAAAAGGTTTAGTACACATCCTTGTCTTATACCTGCTCTCACTTGAAACCATCTTGTTTTACTATGTGATATCCTTACGTTGTTTTGCTGTTTTCATATAATGCCATGACGTTGTCCAGCAGTTTTCCCCTCATTCAGCTTTCTCCTAGCACACCCCACAATAATAATTCTCTCAGTGTACTCTCACGAATGCATTTTCATGGTCAACAAAAAAACGTGTTTCTTTTATTTTTTTAAAATAATATTCTATTGTCTTTTGACTGAGTTGTAGTCGAAGCTCGAATTTTGCGTCTGTTTAACTTTTCCTCTTTACGAACGCAAATTGTGCTCTACTAAATTGTATTCCAAACATCAGTCATCTTTGTTCTTTTATCTTTGCAAAAAGTGTTACCTTCCCACTATTCTGAATAAAAAGCTTGTAAAATGATTGCTAATTATTGAAAATGTCTTACACTCATACAATCATAACTACGTCATTTAGGAGGAGGGCCCCTTCGGCACTGCCCATGAGGGCCAGTGCACATTGGATGGGATATGGCATCACAGCAGACAGAATATGTATTCGATCAAATAAATTCGTCACTAGGAAATTGAACTTAATGTTTCTGCGTTCAAAGGCGGAAAGGGGACTCTCGTAGTAGAGGTTACGGTGTTGGTCTCTCATTCAATAGGTCACGGGTTCGAATCCGGATAACGACGGACAATTTTCTTCTCTAAAATGTTCTCCTTTCACATCCTTTCCTGCTCTCTAACACTGTTCTGTCGTCTGCTTTCGTCTCCACTTTCTGTTCCCACTCTCTCACCTCCTTTGCCCCATCCTCTGAGCTCCTGGCTCTTTCTGCAGCCTTTGCACTGCTTCTACTTGGCTCCTTCTTACTGCTGTCTTTCAGCAACACCCCTGACCTTATGGGTAGGTAAGATCTACACCTAGCCTTCTCGGACAACGGCCAAAAATCTTGGAGGTCCCGTGTGCAAGTTGCGCACGTTAAAGATCCCTTGGTGGTCTAAAATCGATGTTGTTTTTGTTGTTAGCGCCCCAGTAGCATCTGAGCGTTAACTCTTCAGCATGATGCCATTCGGTAATAGCTGCATGTCTGTTCTAATTGTTGTCTTGAGGAGTAGAGGCAATTAGATGTGTGGGATAGCTTGGGAAGAAAACATCCCCTTAAATCAGTTAGTTTTCTACAGAAGAACAGATGATGTTCCACCATCTCTGAGGGGTAGTCACATAGTGGGCAGGCAGCAGACTGCTTTACTCCAATTCGGTTGAGATGTTGGTTGAGGGGTACATGTTGTGTTCTAAGTTGGAAGATAATGGATTGATCTCCCCTCCTCAACTAATTGGTTGGATCTTTGACCAGTGCTTTATTCATTTGGCCATACATCATTCTTCCTGTCGTACCTGTGGCCCAATCATTCATCCAGTCTTCTTTGAGGTTTGACTTGATCATTTGGCAGCAGGTGGTGTAATTAGTAGGAATTTCAGGCTGACGGAGGCTAGCTCCTTTCTTTGCCAGAGCATCAGCTCTTTCATTTCCCGGTATCCCAGTGTGGGCAGGAATCCATTGTAGGACTACTCTGACTTGGTGCCTACTTATCAAATTGTGTATACTCCAAATCAAGTGCAATATATCTTTGTTCACATCAGTTAAACTCTCAAGTGTCTCTAGTGTTGAAAGTCTGCCTGCAAAGATAACGATGTCTGTGGTAACAAGTGGATTAGTGTCAAACAAGTAGTTGATGTAGTTTGCTGTGTTTGTGATAGCCTGTTGTTCGGCAATGAAATTGGAGCAGAAGGACCCGCTGGAATTGAAGACTTAAAAAAAAAAAATCCCACTGGGCAAGTTGATCACTGACCCATATCCAGCGTTGATTGTTGCCTTAATTAAAGGCAGATCCATTAGTGTATGAGTGGATCCATGTTGGTGGATAGGAATCAATAATTGTTTCAAGGGCAGAATATTTTAGTGCTACAGGATGTGTTTTTATTGCTCTTGTCCAAAAGTGTATTCCTAATTTCTGGCTTCGCTATGGTGAGATGTGGTGGGAGAGTTGAGGGTACTCTTTCCAGAGGTTCCCGTCTTTAAGGGAGGTGAGTCCATAGAGTAGGCTTCGGCCTCCACCGGGGCAAAATTAAAAATGTTATACCAAAGAAAATGTTTGGTGTGTCCTGCGCGCTCATATGACGTTATGCAGTTGCGATCGCCGTAATACCAGAGAGTAGAAAAAAATAACAGAAGGCGGAAAACTTAACCTTACGCTTCGGGGGCCAGTCTGAAAGGATTAACACGAAAAACTGTCTATCGATAAACCTTAAGCTTTTGTTGTATCAATCTTTGTCTGGATTCAATGCTCCTGGTGCAGTTTCTTAAAAAATTCAAAATGTTCAGATGAGGACTGTTGACTATAGCTCAAAAATGTCCAATGGAAGCTTACGAGAATTATAGGCTTTTCAAATACAGAAAAACAAACAAACAAAATAAAAAAACAATCATATAATGAAGTGGTGTGCATGCGAAATTGAAATGTGCTTAGCTGTCGTCAATCGCAGTCTCTAACACTGGCGGAGCAGGCAAAACAAAACAGAAAACAATTCAACGATTTCCAAGCGCAGCCAACAGAACTTTTCAGAGACCGTTGCAAGAATAGGCACTATGAATAAAAATTAGCATTGATTTTCCATAACGCAGGGGCTGCTTTCAACAAAGAACAGTACGTAATAATACAATAACCAGTAAGTCACACTGTAGTGTTCAAGGCGCACAAGCCTCCCCCTCCCAAACACACATACACACCACACACACACACACACACAGAGAGAGAGAGAGAGAGAGAGAGAGAGAGAGAGAGAGAGAGAGAGAGAGAGAGAGAGAGGGGGGGGTGGGGTGGGGGGGGTGGGGGGAGAGGACATACAACTATCAGGGGTCTACTGAAGGCCAACTCATACTGAGCTCGTGGATCTGATGTTTAATTATTTTTTTAATTGAAACATTTTTACTCCCATTCTAGATTTCCAAATCTTTTAAAAACCTTTTTATGTCGGTTGAAGTTAAATGTTAATGTTGTCCATCATGTTGCCTTTATACCTTATTTTGTTTTCTCCGAAAAGGAGAAAAAAATTGTAGGGCCTTCTTGGGCTAAGCTTAGCTTAAGCCCAACGCTGTAATTGTGGGCCCCGCGATAGGCACGGGGAAAAGTTGTCACTCCACGCGCTTTAATTTCAAAATAAAACAACAATAATAACAATAAAAAGTAGTATGCTTACATTTCGACAGGTAAATGTTGGTCGAGTGAAGCACTACTGTTCAAAATTTTATCATTCTTGAAATGAAGTGAATCGAACAAATAAGTAAGATATAGAATCTAGAGTTGCTTTCACACAGCGGATAGTGACATAGTCCATAGGCCTATATATATATATTAGCCGACAGTCCACACAATTACGCAACATTTTTATAGGTCTTTGATTGTTTGCGTCATGCTTGTATACTCTTGTGTTACTTATACACATAATCCTAACAGCAGGAGGGACCTCCTTGTCAATTCAGGGAATTTCTTGATAGATCAGGACATTCGGAAGCGCCAGTTCAACGATGTTTCCGATGAATCCTGCATGTCAAGTCCAGTGAGTACAATAACTGCTAAACTCAGAATATAGCCATGCTCGATTTTTGTCAGATGATTGCTTCAGTACACCTCTTATCAAGATCTAGATCTAGAATCTAGATTAATCTAGATCTAGATCTACTAGATTCTAGATCTATATACTGAAAATATTGTTGTAATAAAGACAAAAATATTAGGCTATTTTTTGTTTCGCTTTCTGCTTCTTTTAACACACTTTTAGAAAGTTCAAAAACCAAAATAAACATGTCATGTGACAACGACCAGGAACAAGATGGCGACTGATGGTAGGTAATATAAACAAGGAATTCAAGACCAAGATTAGAAGTAACACCTGCCTCTGTCTACAATGGTGTAGTTCAAGATGGACTCTTCCGAGAGAATCACTTCTGATCGACAAGAAGATGTTGCTGAGGTTGGGTCTAATGATTATTCAAGATACGGAATTCGGGATGTTCCGGTATACACCACAACAACGGCCCTCGGCAAGGTACGGCAAACATCATAATAATAATATTATGATGTAGATTCTATCTATAATATTATAGATCTATATTATAGATCTAGATCTAGATCTAGACATCTAGATCTATATATATGATGCCATTTATGGCAATGGTATTGACTCATGTAGATCTAGTTATCTAGATCTAGATCTAGATCTAGTCAATATAAGAACGAAGTGACTATTTCTCCGAACGTTCGGAGAAATAGTGCCGATCTTTATTTCTCCGAACGGTTTCCGGCTTCCGGTCTCGTGATTTTTTGCCTAATTTTTGCGAGAGTTCGGCGCTAACTTTCATTCTGCCTCTGGTCTGGGAAGGAACACCGCATGGCAAGCCCGCCTTCAGACAACTTTCAGTTACGGCTCGTTCAGTTACACCCACCACACACCCACCACCAACACACAAACTTATACACACACTAACTAAACATGATCAGTGGGCAACTTTTGAACATATTATGACGAGCTGAGCTGTGGATGGAGGGACAGTGTGAGTGACAGAGCAGGTGAAAGGAAGAATGTACGAGTGTATCCACAGGCGACAGCAACTACAAAACAAGGCGACGACACCGACTCCCCCTGGCCTGGTCCACAGCTCACGAACGCAAGGAATGTGGCTAAGGCAGTGTTTTGCTAATACTAATATTATTGTCCATGGTTCGCAGGGTGCAAGGGAATGAGTGAGATTTTCTTTGCGTGTGCCTGGAGGGAGGGGTGGGATGTGAAAATCATGCGGACGGGGATGAGCCGCGGGAGAGAACACGGGAATTCAATGAATTAGTGAAACTGAAAGAGAGGAACGACTCATGAGCCCTGGAGTGAATGGATCCTGTGTTTCTCTTTTTGTATACTTTGAACTGTTACTGAATAATGGCTGAAATAAAGCCCGACAAGCAAACACACACACGCTCCTCACTCTCCACTTAAACACTTAATACTACCACACACAGACACTCGCACATGCATTCACACACACACACACACACACACACACACACAGGAGCAAATTTTTAGGTCTATATCTGTTTCAATTTTCAAGAACTAGTCTACAGATTTTTAGATGAGTGTGAAAACGTGAAAAAGAAAGTAGAAAGGTTTCACAACCAAATGAAATCAAAATTAGAACAGCTCATAAACAACCACAAAAATTAACAAATAAGGCCGTGAGTCCACCTGTCCGAAGAAGATTGGCTGTTTTAACCCTAAATGTGCGTAATTTTAAAACAAAGTACAGGATATTACATGTAAATTATGGAATCACACACATTAAGGGGCCTGCCAAGTGTCAGTACATGTAATCGGTTTTGGTGGAATGTACGCTCTAACATAAAACATTTAAATATATATATATATATATATATATATATATATATATATATATATATATATATATATATATATATATATATATATATATATATGTTTAGAATCTAATGAAGGTTGGAACATCAAATTAAATGACGTTACACTATACAACCCCCCCCCCCCTAACAAAAAACATTGATAGAAAAACAACACATCAGAACAATAACAAGAAAGAAAAAAATACACACTAACAAAATAAAACACCAAAAAAAAGGAAAAATAAAAGTAACTGTAACGTATTCAACAAATCAAGGTGGTGACAACAAGTGAGAAAGAGATGAATTGAAGCTAGGTGAACTTTCTTTCAAAAGTAAAGAGGTTCGTTTTCTTTCTTTTTTTCTTTTTTTAAATTTGACTTTTATTCCCCGAATCGGGGACCAAAAAATCGAGCCACGATTGATTGGTCGACGCCGCGACAAACGCAGATGCTAGTTCTATGTGTCGTTATCAATAACCCTCCGTAGATCTAGATCTAGATCTAGACAGCACACGAGTAAACACAACACAATCACATAAGTTTAAGAGCAGCACCCTTCATAGGCAGCACGTCATATCTGTAGCGAAAAACGGTTTGGAACTGTAGCATTTCTTTATATAAATATTTACTGCGGACATTTTTTGGACCGATTGAACCATATTGCATACGAACAATCTTTGGTAGGCATATACTTTAATCATAGATCTATATAATATCCGAAATTTACGTGAAAGGATGTGATTTCAGAGTATTCGGAGAAATAGTGCCCAGCTTTATTTTCCCGAACGTTCGGAGAGATAGTGCCTAGCTTTATTTTCCCGAACGTTCGGAGAAATAGTGCCTAGCTTTATTTTCCCGAACGTTCGGAGAAATAGTGCCGGCCATATAAGAAAGTGGCTATTCTCACCCGCCCGGAAGTTCTCGCAAGATCAACTCCTCCCCTCTTCTTTCTCTCTCTGTCTCTTTCTGAATACTGTCTATCGGTGTGGACGATCAAATTGACCAAAACAAAGTTAAAAAATGATGTTAAAACACAAAAGTAAATAAATTTTGTTGTCTACAAAGATGCTACGGCTATTTAACTTTTCGAATCGAGCCGAACTACGCGGGTCACCATTTTGTTTTGCCCGGAAATTCTCCCGCTACTCCTCTCTCTCTCTCTCCACTGCCCACAGACAAAATTGTACGCTTTTAGTAGGCTACAGTTGTAATGGAACGTTTGTTCACGGCACAGAATTCTACAATTTTTCCTCACAGTGTAGAATTCTATGGTTTAGGGTGAACGCAAAATTTGGTGAACGCGCACCGGGTGAGAATAGCCACAAGACTCGCCTGCACTATTCTCACTCCGGGTGAGAATAGAGGTGGCCTCAATATAAAGTCTAGAGTGGCAGTACGGCTGGACTGCCAGTCTAGCCGTACTTAGATCTAGGTTTGGCCCTATCGACTCAAGCCTGTTTAGTACACAGGTCTCATTAGATCTAGATCTAGTAATTATTCAGATTCAAATATATGCAAGTCAGTAAGGCACCTTTTGGTTTTGTCTGAAATACAAATACTTTAGGACTTCAGGCATTGCAAACTAAAAACGAAGTGATTATTCGGACTCGAGTCCGAATATGAAAAAATGTTATTCGGACTCTGATTCTTGTCCAGCATGACATCACTTCCGACTTCCTGTGACTCGTGAATCCGGCTTCCTGTCCTGCCTCACTCGTGACTCACCTCAGGCTGGGTAGAGACCGGGATCACTTCGGGCAAAAAGGCGTTTTGTGCAGGAGCCGAGTTTTAATCTTATGATGAATTTGAGGCCGGCCTGAAAAGTTGTAGCGCTTCTAATAAATGTTTATTTGTCAAGAGGTCATCAGAAGCAATTAAAGATGGCTCGTTAGCGTGTGTCGGGGTCGGATGGGCGGCCTGCACACGTGTGGCTGTGTGCGTGTCGGGGAAGGTGGTGAGGGGGCACTATTGGTCCGGGCATTGAACGTCGCATACGCGTCAGTCTTTTTCCCCCCGGCAACTGATCATTATTATTACAATAATAAGCTAGTCTTGACGTAGATCTACGTAATGAATTGTGCGCTGGTCTATGGAATCAAAAGTTGCCGTATGCTCAGCTCGACACAGCAACACAACTTTTTCTTGGTAAACAATCGATATGACACAGGCTTGTTTTTTTTTTTTTTACCTAGCTCATAATATGCAGGTGCCAGGTGGTCTGCTAATCTTCAATTTTACCTTTTTCTACAACAAAGAAAGTGGGAAACTTGGGGGGGGGGGGGGGGGCGCGAATCAATGAGGCGGCGGGCATTGGATCGGCAGATAAGGTGTGGGGGAAACTAAAAAATGGCGGAAAATTGGAAGCACTGAACGTTAGATCTATAGAACGAAGACACTTCCTTTTCTCCGGACCCGAGTCCGAATAACATTTTTTCATATTCGGACTATAGTCCGAATAAGAAATTTTTTTATTCGGACTTGAGTCCGAATATGAAAAAATGTTATTCGGACTCGAGTCCAAATAATGACGGCCAACTAAAAATTTCATTTACAATTCAGCCATCAATATTAAGTACGGCTAGCCTGACAGTCTAGCCGTCCTTAAGTACGGCTAGCCTGGCTGTCTGGCCGTACTTAAGTACGGCTAGACTGCCAGTCTAGCCGTACTTATCTTAGGCCCTATTAACATTAGAAAACAGGAGGTTTAAAATACATGCACTGTCATTAAGGCACCTGGTTTCATCTCAAATGCAAATACTTTAGGTACTGCACACTAAAAATGTATATTTACAATTTGATTCAGTAGGCCTATTTTTTGTAAATGGTCAGTCTGCCATCATGGAGGCTAGCCGTACTTAATGACGGCTAGACTGCGAGTCTAGCTAGCCTCTTCCTAGATTTATTTTAAGAAGGCCACCTCTATTCTCACCCGGGGTGAGAATAGTGGAGGCAAGTCTTTTGGCTATTCTCACATGGTGCGCGTTCACCGTTATAGTCTAGATCTAGGCCAACAAATTTTGCGTTCACCCTAAACCACAGAATTCTACACTGTGATAACAGAAAAATTGTAGAATTCTGTGCCGTGAACAAAAGTTCCATTACAACTGTAGCCTACTAAAAGTAAAAGCGTAGGCCTACAATTTTGTCTGTGGGCAGTGGAGAGAGAGAGAAAGAAAGAGAGAGAGAGAGGAGTAGTGCGAGAACTTCCGGTCAAAACAAAATGGTGACCCGCGTAGTTCGGCTCGATTCGAAAAGTTAAATAGCCGTAGCATCTTTGTAGACAACCAAATTAATTTACTTTTGTGTTTTAACATCATTTTTTAACTTTGTTTTGGTCAATTTGATCGTCCACACCGATAGACAGTATTCAGAAAGAGACAGAGAGAGAGGGGGGAGGAGTAGATCTTGCGAGAACTTCCGGGCAAAACAAAATGGCGACCCGCGTAGTTCGGCTCGATTCGAACAGTGAAATAGCCATAGCATCTTTGAAGACGATCAAATTAGCTTACTTTTGTGCTATAACGTAATTTTTTCTTGGCTTTTATCAATTTGATCATCCACATCGATAGAAAGTATTCCGAAATTAGGAAAAACAGGTCTTGTTTCAAACCGGGTGAGAATAGCCTACGGTCGCATGTCTCAT